GCGCGCCGTGTTCCCGCCAGCGCGCCGATGGTTGTCGCCGCCGCCAACGTCACGGCGGGCTCGGAGCGCGCAGTTCCAGAAGCCGGCGGCTACGCATCACACAGCTATGGAACGGGTAAGCTGCCCCCTGAGTAGTAAGCACATAGCCGTGCACGCATGCACACACACTAGCTGGCTATGCACCACACACAGCTATACAGGATCATGGGTTAGCTGTCCTGTGTAGTGCTCATGCACCCACACGTACAAACACGCGCATACACTGTCCAGTTACGCATCACACAGCATACACTGAGTAGTAAGCACATTAGCGTGGCACGCTATGCCAGACACTAGCTAGGCTATGCACACACACAGCTATACAGGATCATGGGTTAGCTGTCCTGTGTAGTGCTCGATCCCACGTAGCAAACCACGCGGCATACAAGTACCCAGGTTAGTAGAGCCATAGCCGTGCGCACGCATGCGCACACACTAGCTGGCTATGCACCACATAGATACGGAACGGGTAAGCTGCCCTGAGTAGTAAGCACATAGCCGTGCACGCATGCGCACACACTAGCTGGCTATGCACCACATAGATACGGAACGGGTAAGCTACCCAGAGTAGTAAGCACATAGCCGTGCACGCATGCGCACACACTAGCTGGCTATGCACCACATAGATACGGAACGGGTAAGCTGCCCTGAGTAGTAAGCACATAGCCGTGCACGCACGCGCAGACACGCGCACACACTAGCTGGCTACGCATCACACAGCTACGGAACGGGTAAGCTGCCCTGAGTAGTAAGCACATAGCCGTGCACGCACGCGCAGACACGCGCACACACTAGCTGGCTACGCATCACATAGATACGGAACGGGTAAGCTGTCCTGAGTAGTAAGCACATAGCCGTGCACGCACACACAGCTGGCTACGCATCACACAGCTACAGAATGGGTTAAGCTCTTCTGTGTCGGATGCACGCACACTCACTCGCACGTACGAACGTGTGCACGCACACACCGACTGGCTACCGAACGAGGTACTGCCTAAGTACTATTTAGTTGTGATGCCCACACACATTCACATGCAACTACGAACCCAGTGCCTATGCCTAATCTTAGCGAGCCTGGGTCTGAGATGTGGGTTTCACTGATGACTAGACGACAATTTACGCTAATAATTCAATAATTTACTGGTCTTTTGCTTTTATTAACCCTTTTTATTAGCCCCCTTTCCCCAAAATCGAGGTCAGGGGCCTTATCCTCCCCAGAATCTACGGCCGTGGTACATGCGTTGATTTCCTTTGCAGCAGGTTACGACGATCTAACGCAGGGTCAGGACTACAAGTCTTCCGGTTACTCCGCCGTCTCACAGTCCGCCAACAAGTCCGCTGGGTCGTCGTCAGGTCACGCTGGGGTCGCCAACAGCGGCGACCTCCAGATGAACCCAGCGTCCGCCTACAGCAAGGCTCACGCACAGGTACGCTTGTGTTTTTATTTTCGTGGTGGTAGGTGGATTCGTGGATGTCTTCTGCTCAGATTCTGTTTGGGCGTTGACGTGATGCAGCCAGCATTGTCGACCTGTGTACCAAGTCAGCTGGACAAAGTTAGGACAGTCACAGAGAACCATGGCGACCCAGATTTCCGATTGGAGAATGGTGTTATTATTTTTCGTCTTTTGTTATTCTTCTTCTGCACTAGCTCTTTGGTGGTGCCACCTTGCTCCTCCCCCTTCACTAGCATGCATCGGTGGCGCCACCTCACTCCTTGCTCATCGATGCTCTGCTCTTGCAGTTTGACAACAAGGGTTTCCACGCGGGCACGGCGCCCCCGTTCAACCTCGCTCAGCTGGCGAGCGCCGGCACGGCCGTGCCACTCGGCGTGCCCTCTACCGCCTACGCCGCGCCCTACGGACAGATGCTCGCCCAACACCACCCCCAGATGGCGCTGCACGGTCACCACATGCAGCAGGACTCGGCGTCCGTTTCGTCGCAGCGTCCGAGCCAGGCCGCCGGGCCGCCAAAGATCCCGCCGGGGAAGCCGTACAACAGCACCGGGTACTGGGCCGCAAACTGAAGCTGCCACGGCCGCCCCTCTCGACCCCCGCGCGCGTGCGCGGCGCGGTTTTAAATCTATTTATGAGTCGTCACGTGTTAGGTGTCGTCGACAGCTGTTGTAGGTCGTGCAGGCCCCCCCCTTCGAGTTCTTGCTCCCCGTGCGTGCACGGGAGCTCTCTCGGATTGTGTCTGTTTTAAAAAAACCATAGATTTGGTATGTTTCACCTTTGTGTATTACAGTGTACAAAATATTATCTGTTGACTGCTCGTATTATCTGCATACTTATATATATTGTGTAACGAAAGCTGTCTGCTTGGTGACCCCCACCCACTCACAGCCAACAAGGATGGAGGAGGGGGGTCGATTGGGAAGCGTGACGATGCTTCCTGCACCCCACCTCCCCATCCCAACGTATTTCTATCACAGCCAACATTGGCAGACGGATGAAGAAAAGCTCTCTCCTCCCGATTGTACAGCGTATGTATGTTGCGGCTCGTTACCCTGGCAAGGATACGTAGAGGGCACGTTGACGATGTGTTGTGTTGGTGATATTTTGTTGGTTTCTCCTGATGATGAACTTTGGTGGGACTTATCCGCGGCCGCGGGTCGATCTACAATGCCTGATTAATTATTAATTGCTCGTGTCTCTCTCTTTAATCATCTGGCATTTGTCAAATACAGCTGTACAAAGGTGTGTAGACATTATAGGGTATTATGCTCTGGAAAACCCCGTGCCGAGCAAGCAGTGACAGCAGGTTATTTTTAAAAAGTCTGTCTGTTTCTTGCTCTAGCAAAAGTAATAGGGGGCATATTATGTGTGCTGTAAGATATTATATGCGCAAGGTCAGCGTCTATGGAAAAACGTGGGAAAAATACTAGAACTCGTGTTGATAGATGTAGTTTGGTTAGTAATTCCAGCATTAAGTTTTATGTCTTTCTTGTATTGTAAGTTTCTGCTTTTTATTTCTCGCTGCTGTCACAGCATACGTATAAACCATATTATGATTCTGTAATAAATAATGGAAATTTGCCTGACATAGTTCACGTGTACAGCGTCTAGCTCTTCTCGTGAATGACAGGTGTAGATTGTAGAATGGCACGAGTGCCTGTCAGTCCGTCCGCCGTCAACAATATTGGGACAAGTCTAGACATGTCAGGGTTACAGAAGCCATCATCCTAGCAAAATTAAAGGTCAAAGGGCATTTGAGCAAAGGGGGTGCTTCATAATATTTCAGACATGGTGAAAATAGGGTGAAAATTTTTTGGTGACCTACAGTTTTCATAATTGGAATGGCCATAAAATATAATTTCCACTCACATGCAGAGTAGCTGTGCAGTGACCGTTTGACCGGCAAGAGGGTTGAATATTGATTTGTTTACTTTTGACTAAGAACTGAAATGCTTTGACTAGGCATGCTAGGGGAGCCTCTATACCTGTATGGGTGTGAAAGGCTACAATATCACAGTTAAATTTCTTAGTTGAAGAAAATTTTAAGCTAATCTAACGAGATTTAATACTTTAGATGTAATAAATTCCATCCCTCAGAATTTGTACTATAGATATCATCAAGAGCGTATAAAGAAGGATTGCGTACAACGGTGAAACCATGTTGCAGTATTAGTCGTATTAAGAAAGTTTGGCCGTTTTATTTTGACGATTCTTTGTGGTATTATTGATCAGCTCTCCTACCTTGTTAGTATAAAACAAGCCGCTTGTCCCTACGATGCTCCTACGCTGAGATAATGAGCGGTGAAAATCTGGTATTTTCGCCGAAAACCGACTCGAGATAGGTGTTTACTGCGACTGTCTCTCACTTTGTGGCCAGTGTATTGCTTCCGGTCGCCGCTGTGTAGCGCCATGGTAGCGCTACTCACGTCAGTACTACAGAGATTACTACACATCCAGATGAGACGGGATACTAGAGAAGCGTTGCCGAAAGGAGGTTGATCCGAAGCGCTGAGCGCAGATCTTGCGCGCAGTTCCACGGCAAGGCGCACGCGACTGCGGGAACATCCTACGACAGTATGCAGCGCTGGCAGCTATGGATCCGTGCGCCGTATGCATAGGTCGGCGCACGGATCCATAGCTGCCAGCGAACAGTCCGCAATTTTACGATCACAGTGAAATTCGAAGTCGCCTGAACGCTAGTGGCAAAATTGTGGGGGAAATTGGTTAAAAGTAGTTAATAACATAAACGCGGATAAGGCTACAGGGTTACATAACATAGGAGGTAAATGTATAAAAGATGGGTGTGACATTATTTGTCAGGCATTTAGACATGATGAAGTTATCATTCCTCATTGGAATAATTGCACATATGAAATAGGCCAGAGTGAAAAAAAAACAACCAAAAGCGATGGAGGAAATTATAGACTTGGAAGACAATTTCGCTGGTGAAATGAGACGAAGCTAAGTTGTGGGAAAGGTGAACAATACACTAAAATTGATTTACAGGAAACGTGAACATTTGAACAAATCATGTAAAACATGACTAGTTACTGCGTTCATTAATCCATGGTAAACCATGTTTTAGAAATGCTGCATAATCTCAGTCTCAGACTATGGAGGTCGATTTCAGGGACTTTCTTATTAAATCATTGGACACTGACAGTATACTATTATTTGCGCTAACAAATCTTAGAAGGCTTACACATGTGTGCGGTATAAACCTTCTTTTGTTTTTTCGACATGGACAAATACATGGGAATTTCATATAGTACACAGTTAGCTTCAACGATACACATAATGTCCAGGACGGACACTACAGTAATGAAGATCATGGTATCGTATCACCGTCCTGCACATTATCTGTAGCCTTCAACCACAATGGCGACAGACGAGAACAACCTTGTGCAATAGCTATAATAATGATGTTTACTATTGAAATGTTATCTCACCGATGAAAAGTAATCTTTGCTGCTTTTGACTCCTTACATCGAACAACGTTGCAGTTCGATGCACAACAATACGGTGGCATGATATATCGATGGATATGGATGAAACATGCCAACCTATATGAGCATCGCAATATCGACAAATGATACAACTACTCTTAAGATGGATACCGCAAGTGACGACTGCTACCGACCTTCACTCCGCCAAGTATCGTTGGCTACACTGAAGTGAGTTACGGTAGCGTGTGGTACGGTACAGTTACGCTAGAGTTACGGTAGCGTGTCAAGCGGGTACCAGTCTAGCTTAGCCAGCCCAGCCGTCTCCAGAAAAATGGCATGTACATAGCCTCGTTGCGCCATCTATTCTAGTAAACCCTGTTAGTCCCAAATGTGTTCACATACACGCCGAAACAGTGGAAGGCACAGGGATGGTATCAGGAACCTTCTCAAAGAAATGTTCGTTGGGATCGTTATGAAAGTTGCCACGAGATGGCGCGTACGTTTAAGTGTCTTCAGATTAAAGATGGAACATCGTACGTAGTAGCAACAGCTATTTGCAAGACAGAATAGGTAAGCACTCATCCATTTACCTACGCAAGCCTACAGGCTGAAATAGAGAGCTGCCACCTGTAACTAATTAACGCAGGCAAAAACTACACAGTACCACCACCACATGCACTGGCAGTGGCATACGTTACATGTAACACACTGACAGCACAGAATGCCATAGAAATTATACGATTTAAGGCACATAAACCTCCAACCAAATTTAGCTTTTGAAATTTCACTGACATTGTAGCCTCATACATCGAGGCATGTATAGATTCTACTAGCAAACCCGGCAGTCAAATTCTTTCTAACAGTAAAATCCATGTTTAACCCGCCTCTTGAGGGTCAAAAGGTTATCCGACACTGACTCTTCGCATGTCAGCAGAAAGTACATTTCATGGTCCTTTCAATAAAGCCATAAAAATGCTAGGTCACCGCTGAAACAAAAGTTTTTCAATCGCTCTGTCAGACCATGTCCTCAGAAAATGTCTAAAATCTGCCGTGCCCATTAACCTGTGACCTCCAATTTCGGCACAGTGATGGCTTTTCCTACCATGATGCTATAGACTATTACGAGCCGTTTAGATTTGTGCCGCATTTTTGCATTTCCTCCCTATACCTTAAGTTAAGGAGGGAATGTTTCCCCTTCTTTTACACCTCTTGACCTATGACCACCAGCTTCGACATCCCAACTCGTTTTCGGATTACCCCCCCCCCCACGTCCCGAATATCGTGACCGTACATCGAGCGGTTAAGATTTGTGCCCAACTGTTGACGTGCAAGCTGCATCCGACTACGTCAGATGAGCTAAAAATTCAAACTCGGTTTTCTACAGGAAAACGAAGCGCGCCGAGCAGCCAAACAACAATTACGACCATTTCGAGGAAATGTCTATCTACGTACGTAGTCAAAAGGCTTGTGGAATCGCCACAACTGCTGAAATGACCAATTATGCAGCAATGTCCTTCTATGTAAACCTGCTTAAGATTTACTCCAATTGAATGCAGCGTATTTGTGTTAGTGTGCCGCTACGCGGCGTTGTTCGCGCTTCGCGCGAGATCCGGGCTGCCAATTGTCCAGCGTGAGGTGGGCACAGTTGGGGGTCATCACTATGGCAATCAATAACAGACGTCATTCATTCCATTTGTCAATCATTGACAGAAACATGCGAGGTTTCCCGAAGTTATCTCAAAGCGAGAGAGTCGCAGTAAACACTGATCTCGAGTTGGTTTAAGGCGAAAATACCAGATTTCCACCGCTCATTATCTCAGCGTAGGGACATGCGGTTTGTTTTATATTAACAAGGTAGGACAGCTGATCAATAATACTGCAAAGAATCGTCAAAATAAAACGGGGAAAACAATCCGGTCAATCGGGTCAACTAATACTGCAACATGGTTTCAGCATTTCACCGTTGTACGCTCTTGATATCATCATACAGCACCAGCACCCACCTGTGCCCTGTTTTGCAATCATGCATGCGCATTAATTCTCACCAGCTGCGTTTGCTTCGCGGTCGACATTCACGTTACGCATCGCCTCCAATTCTCAGATGAGCCTTGCTGCTTTCCAGCACTTTGGTAATCTGCGGTACATTTGCGATTCCGGCTGCTTCCCCTCGGACAGCTGTACGAGCATTGATTACACAGAGCGGGCCTAGGGATGTGAAGAGTACACCAACGTTACTAACAAGTACTACTCAAATGTGTTTGTGATATAACCTAATTACCTTGATCCAAATTGAAGGAGGGAGAACTTCCCGTAGTACAGGCAATTTAGGAAGGTCAACCAGTCATTTAATATTATTGGCACCAAACCTAGCATAAACACATTGACAAACTGACAAAAGGAGTAAGCAACATCATTTGTATCTAGCTTCACTTCTCATAACTTTATTCTCGTTAGACATTAACAAAATACAACTGATATTATTTGCCATGCTCACTTGTCACAGACGAGTGACAACTAAAAATAAGCTGAAGTCAGTAACATGAACATCGATTTAGTTTGAGGAAATTTGATTGACGGCCGATTGACAGTTTGTAAACCAGGATTGCTATCCAGATGAAAACCACTAACTTAGAGAGATAACCCACAGCCTGTTTGCCACGGACATGATAGCAATGTAGAGTACACGTTCCACGTTTAAATAGTTTTCTAACCCCCCCGGGTAGAAGAAATCTGCGCGCGTTATTATAGCTTGTCGAGGTAATTCGCGAGGTCGGGAATGCCCTCCTTCAAGCCCTTCCGTTTCCTCGAGTCGTTGACAACCGTGCGTGGCTTTGAGCCCTCTTCGAATGGATCTCCGGGAAGGATCTGCCAGTGATCGAACACGCACTGTGGGAACGCCTGTCCTCCGGTGTTTGATCGCAGGTCCGCCGTGAACCCTACACGCCGATGAAAGAAACGACAACGCACTAAGACAGGGATGTTGACAAGGTTGATGCACCCTCAAAACGATGGCCGCATGCAATATGAAGGGTTGGGATTTCACCGAGTGCACTCCTCACCATGGTGTCTCAAAAATGCACGGAAATTTACGACAACAGAGCATCACAGACGCTTCTACGCCACTACCATAAACTCCACATTGTGTATGTATTCCCACAGGTCCCACAACGTAATTACTCGATAAAAAGCAAGTTGCCTTTGTACGTCCCAGCTCTTGAGAGAAAGTTTTCCCCCTTTACACTACTTCCAACTCGTTCCAATGCCCCAACATCCGCATAAACCCACTCATACCTCGCGCTTTCCAACACCCCGTGTCAGCGACTGTGAAAAGTGCTTACCAAACGACTCCATGACGGGCAGGTACGCCTTCACGACAAACATCGGGGTGCCGGGCACCTGTGACTCCTCAATAACGTGGCCACGCCGTCTGTTCAACACTCCGTAGATGCCGCCGACAGCCGCCTCAGGACACTGCGAACAAGAGAGCCGGAGATTTTAATAATAATGCCCGCAATCACTGCGGTCTCTTCGTTTCTATAGTTTATTCATGGTTCATACAGGAAGACTGAAATTTTTGTCAAAGACATTTTATCGGAAATTCAAGGACATTTTATCAGACATTTTATCGGAAA